ATCAAGGCAATTGATGCTCAGAGAGGCAAAGTGACTAAGCTACAGCCACACAGAGAGTTAATGGTCCATATCACTAGAACTAGCATCTCTAATACATACTCAGATTCTAGCTCCTACTGCACTTATTGTGAATATTTGATTCCTTATTTTCATATGGACTACAGTTATCTCTGTTTACTCTTAATGAAGGTACTGGAGTGATAGCTAGGAACCATTAAGAGTGGAATGATGCATTTTGCGGTTTGGACAACATTCTCTTCTTGTTTGTATTTGTTTCTAGTACTGAGTATTGAACCTAGAGTCTCACTCATGCTAGAAAAGTATTCTACTACTAAGCTACAATCCCTAGCCCTGGTTTTTGTTTTCTTTTGTTTTCTGTTTTCTTTTTTTCATTTTGAGATAGGGTCTCAGGAAGTTGCCCAAACTGGCCTTGAACTCTCTCCATTTCTGAGAGGCCATGAATTTATTGCCTTCCTGCCTTATCCACCTGAGTGGCTGAGACTGCAAGCCCTAGCCACTAAGCTTAGCTGTGTTCATGTTCTGTGTTCCATCATGACTCTGGAGTAGTCTTTTAGCTTGGCCTATGATGGCCTTCTTTTCCTTAGCTGAGGTCAACAGCCTTTTCAGAGGTGGGAAGTATCAAGCAAAATTGTTTTAGTTGTTTGAATCAATCACCACAATCCTAAGGGTTTTAAGCAAACATGACTTTCTCAACAAGAGTATGACTGGCATTTTAGGTGGAGTGATTCTATGCAGTACAGGGTGCCTGCTTCACATGGCAAAGATGTGCAATGCTCCTTTGGCACCCAGATAATCACTGGTAGCAGACCTCCAAGTAAGTATTAGTCTATGAATGAGGCAGTTAAAAACATCAAAATTAATGTCAAAAAATCATGGTAAACAAAATGTCAAAACACTAAAGATGGGAGAAAAATCAAGACTGCTAAATCTTTCACCTCAGGCTTAGTGTGAATCGAATGGCACAGTTAATGATACTGTCATTATTTAAAATGTTACTTTGTTAATCATGACATTTTTGCATTAACTTTTAAATAAATTAAAACAAATATTATCAAGCATGATTGCTAAATTTCAGGTTTCCCTTAAATGGAGAACCCAAGAGAAGTACCTCTCTCACCTTGCCATGGTCCAACCTTACTTCTTAAGCTTTGTGGCAAACTGGAACACCTTCACCACATTTCCAAATGTCTGTATGGGCTGAGAACTTCTGAAATTGAAGCTGATTTTTCTCATATAAGAAATCTAGAGAAAATCAGTCTGGGCCTGAAGTGGTAGCTCTATGACACCAAAAGGGATGCCAGGCCCATTTGTCTCTACTGTATTCAGAGGATGGCTACCAGACCTGAAGAATTATATACTAATTACAGACAAGAAAATAGAGGGTGAGGAACAGGAAAATCACACCAGCTGAGCCTGACTCTTTTCATTAGAAAAACATAACTGTCCCAGGAGCCCACCCAATAAAGCTTAACACATATCATTAGCAGGAAGTATAATATATATCATTAACAGGAAGTGAGTTGCATGGACAACACTAGCTACAAGAAACCTGGGAGGTGAACAGTTTTAAATAGGCACGTTTCCAGCTTGAATAGAACTGATAGTCCATCTGTAAAAAAAATAATAAGTGCAAATGAATGAAGAATGACTGGTAAGGTGTGTTCACTGCAGAGACCATGCAGGATAGCACACACTGGCTATTTTGGGTGATTACAAATATAACTCTCTATTAGTCAGGTGACAGTTATATAACCGGAGTGTTTTGATGGTCACTTTTAGAATCACACATATAAGCTGTAATATTATCCTAGGCTGGGACCGACAAAAGTGGAGCCTGAAACAGGGTAGGCACACATGATTTATCTTGAGAGAAATTTGTAAGGAAAGGACAAAAGCAGCAAAGGATAGGGAAATAAGCCAAGCAAGCATGCATTCACAGATCAGGTTAAACACTGGCCTGATGCACAAGGGAGCCTGGATCACTGCATAGAGTTAGTTGTCTCACCATGAGGGAACGAAGCAGAGCCCCTTGGCTTTGGTTAATCTTATCAGCTCCTAGAGAAGGGCTGGGGTATGTCTTCAACTTCCATCAGCCGGGGGCAAATCTCCAGAGAGGATTACAAGTATGAGCTGCTTAGGAAAGCAGTCATTGCAGCTAGGAAATGGAGCACACCCCCTAATGTGGAACTGGGTAGCACAATAACATTTACTACCGATACTCATTTGAATATGGTCTCCCAAGAATTGCCTTCATTTTTATTTTAGATTACTTGAGAGTATAACCTTACATACATCCCTGGGATTAGAGGTATTGGAAAAGCTGGCAACAAGTTGCCAGTGTTTCATTTGAAGAAAACAAATGATTAACAGGTGTTGACTTGTTTTGCTGAACCACTAATGGAGGAAGCACTTTATGATTTGCTCTGGGTATTAACTAGAATCTGCTGTGTCGCTCACGATCTTGTCAGGGCACATTAATATCTCGTAGTCTTAGGGTCTCATTTAAATCTCAATGAATATTTAATTGATGTTGACCAACAAAATAAGCAAAAGAATTATGTTGCATTTAGTCAGATTTGAAATGAGCAAGCTCTTCATTTTCTCAAGCAGTCTGAGGCTAATATAGTTCACCTTCATGAAATATTCTACATAATTTTATAAGTACTTACAGGGCTTCAAAATCATCTTGAAAGGCATATATTAAACACTGAGAAAATAGGAAATGAATTTTCAAAGTTACATGCAAGAAAATGGTATAGACTATATTACTTTTTCCATAGTGAATTAAAAATATCAACAACCTCTTTTTACTTAAGAAGTAAAAATAGAATCTTTTATTTGGCCCTTGCAACTTATATATTCTATAAAATGCAGAATTACAGGAATCCATGCATAATTGCTCCAAGTCAGTCAGCCCAGAAATTGTTTTTGAGCTCTAAGTCCAACACAGAGCCAGACATGAAAAAACGATTTTTAAAGAAATATTGGCCCATGTTGAAAATGGAGCTGCTTTCCCAGGGAAGAAGCCTCCCTGTGGTCTGTTTGATCTCTTATAAGTATCAGAACTGGGCTTCAAATAATGTTTGCTCTAATTAATGTACCATATCACAGATGTAATGGAGATGTGTCACTTCTATCATATTTCAGGGCATTGTCAACCAACTCATGCTAAAACCTACTAAAAAAAATCACTTGATAAATTGAGCATATTGTGATTTGAATTCTTTATCTAGTCCTGAATTCTTTTCTCTTTAATTTATAAGACCTATAAAAAATATACCAGATTCTTCTTAGAGAACAAAACATGAAGCTGTAATTCAGGATTGTTGTAAACATGGCACATCCATATGCTGCCCTATAGAAAATAACTGCTCGCCTTGGGTTTCTTCTCTTTGATCTTTGTCCCTGCTGTAGATACTAAAAGGTTGGGGGTGTAGTCAGTGGCAGAGTGCTTGCCTAACAAGTTTGAGAGCCTGGGTTCAATCCCCAGTATTCAAGTGAGAGAGAGAAAAAAATAGAAAACACAAAACTGCACTCCCCCTTCCAACTACTGGTTGTATCTCTGTGTATATTCTTTGCAAAAATATACCTTGAAAATTCACAAGCCATTTGTAATGGCACACACATGTAATCTCATCACTCTGAAGACAGAGGCAGGAGGATCAGAAGTACAAGCCAGCCTTGGCTGTATAAATGAGTTTGAGGCCATCTTAGACTACATGAGACCCCCATCTTAAAGGAAATTTCAGATTCTTGCCTAATACCTCTTCCCTTCACATCAACAATTCTCATCATCTCACACTATGGTACTTAGCGATGGGTAACCACAATCAGTGTTCAGCAAAAGAAAGCATTTTTTTATTGCTATTTAATGCCACATTTGGACCAATGGCAATTCACCAGGCAAAAGTGACACAGTGACCTGGCTCTTAGTATCTACAGAAAGACAGATTATCCTGTCCAGAGAAAGAGATGAAGTAAAGCTTGAGAAGTATTAGTTGGGAAAGATAAGCATTTGATACCATGTAACAAAAACACCCTGTCTGAAACAACAGAGCAAGGATAATTTTTTTGTTTTGTTTAGCTCTGTGTGCATGTGTCTGTCTGTCTGTAAGGCTAGGGAGGAAGTAGCCTTGGTTAAAGGATACAAAATTAAAGTTGGATGGAAAAGAGTAAGTTGCAGAGATGTATCACATGGCACAGCAAAAGTAGATTTTAAGCATTCTTAGCTGGGCATGGCAGCTCACACCTCTGATCTAGCAGTTTGGAGGTAAAGGCAGGCCAATCTGGCCTACATGGTGTTCAAGGCCAACCTAGTCTAGGCCAGTCAGGACAACATAGTGATACCCTGTCTTTAGAAACAAAACAGACAAACAAAACATAAACAACTTCTCATCACAGAAAATCCTGAAGTAATACACATGTTAATTTGCTTTACTTAGCCATTCACAATGTGTACATATTTCAAAAACACGCTTTACATCCTAAATATATAATCATCCCTTTGTATCTGCAGGGAATTTGTTCCGAGATTCACAAGAATGTTTGAGTCCATTACATAAATGGTGTAATATTGGCATAAAACCTTCACACAGCCTCTAGTATTTGAACTTACCTCTGGATGACCTATGATACCTAGTACAATGTAATGCTATGTAAGTAGTTGCCAAAGGAGATTGGTTAGAGAATAACACCAAACATGAAGTCCACACATATTCAGCACAGATGTACCCCATGCCAAATAGCTTGGATTGAAAGTTGGTTGAATTCATATCTATGGATCCTGCTGACACAGAAGTCCAACTGCACACATTTCTATTTGTCAACTTACAAAAAATAAATTGGGAGAAATACCATGCACAAACGCAGTATGTGTAAAAGCCAAAAATGAAAACGACCTTAATATATATTGAAGATGCTTATTTTCTCATATCTACGTGTAAAACTTGAATGTCTCTCTCCAATGTCATGTGACTTACCTGTTTATCAAAAGCTACCCAGGATGGTGCATCGGCTCCATCTCCTTTGGGATATATAGTGTTTTTAGGCCTTATCTTTTGCCCAGGTAGCAGCTCTCCACCTATTCCAGGCTTCTCATCACTCACCAGCATCCTGACATTGTTACAAAAGCCCCAGTGTTGGGATTTATGGAATTTCTCCTTTCCTGCCTGTGAGTACAAAAGACAATAATAAAAAAAAAAGTGGCCAAAGTTAATATTTCTGACTTTTCTTACAGTAAAGGCTTTTCCAACATAAATACATTTTCCCCATCACAAAATGCATATGAAGTGTCAAGTAACTGTGAGCAATGTTTATCCATTTGTGTTACATTTTAAATTCAATTTCTTTTAACTAATTTCTTTTAACTTTGAAAAGCATTAAGAATAAAGCTGATAGTCCATGCTATTTACAATATTTCAAAATAAATATTACTGCAAGTAAACATTTGAACACTGGTTTGCTAATTGGTCTATTTTACTTATTTGCAAAGAATGCCAAGCAGATAAAACTTATTTACTTCAGAGAAGAAAGCCACTGTTTTTCACAGAAGCCTAAGCATTACATTCACCAAAACAGAAAACAAAATCTTGTCCTCATCAACATTAATATAAAGGGAAATTCCTCACAATTCTCCTAATTATGAGACCTTGTCTCCCACCATTTTGGGTGACACAGACAGAGAGAAGCCACAAGTAGTGCCAGAGGTTGAAAAGGATGAAGGCCAGATTCAACCCACAAGTCAAGGACCACCAATGGAAACACAGAGGTAGCAACTCCTAGCAAGGTGAAAAGTATGTATGTTCCATGGCCTGGCAAAGCCTCTCCTGAGAGTCTCTTGCCTATAAGCACAAGGGGCTGGATAGCAGATGCCCTTCAATGTTATAAGAATGATAAATGGCAACAATCTCAGTACCTGCTAATTGTAAAAAAAAAAAAATGCCTCAATTGTGTTTGCTTTATATTAAAAGTCTACAATAACATGTATTGATATAGTCAAGTGTTAAACTATGTCACACACACACACACACACACACACACACACACACACACACACACACACACAATTGGCAAGTAGTAAAAGGGCTGCTGTGTGACTTTTCCTGGGGAGATACATAGAGACATCTATTTTCTTGGATAGGGCACTGACAGACCAAAGAAATTTGTCCATCTAAGTACAACTTGATGAACCAATGAGTTTGTTGTTGGGGTTACATATAAGAGCATGGTGACTCCAGAGCAGCTGTATCTCCAAAAAGCCCCATCCTGATATGAGTGATGACTCATGGAAGCTGCATCACCGGAGTGGAGTCCTTTCCACAGTCAACTTTAATTTCCTAAAGAACCAATACGCTAGCATTTCCCAAGATCACACATAGCTGAGGCAGGGTTATATGCAGTTGTGGGGAGTCAGAAGGCTAGAGTAGTTGGAATCTCAGGTACAGGTCTCTCATCCCATCCTGCACCCTTTAAAGAAGAACTGTTAATAGGCCTGATCTTCCTAGGGTCTCTGCTGGTAATCACTGCCTCTCTGATTCTGAGACAAAAGTGGCCATAACTCTCTGATTCTGAGACAAAAGTGGCCATATCATGACCAGAGGGCAGAGTTCTGAAACAAGGGCATATAAAAAGTGATACTTCACATATATGAACACCTGAAAATAGTAAAACTCATAGCATTAACTATGGATAAAATATATACAGAAATAATATGCAGCAAATTCAAAATTATATAATATCCACAATAAAATGCAATATAATCATATGTGATATAACAATAAATGTCCACAAGCAACAAGACTTTATATAAACAACAAACATTTCAAGTACAATTAATCGAAACTTCATGTGAGTTCCTGGCCTTTGTCATGGCAGTGGACAGGAGTCAAAAGAATCCTATTCCTCTTATGGTGCAGATCACTCCAGCCTTCCGGCTCCCCACAGCTGCATATAACCCTGCCTCAGTTGCATGTGGTCTTGGAAAATACTAGAGTATTAGATGTTTAGGAAATTAAGGTTGACTGTAGAAAAGACTCCACTCCAGTGATGCAAGGATTCCCTGAGTCATCACTTGGAAGAATTTAGAAAGGCCTGGGCAGTCCTAGAAGGGGAACCAAAGACCATGACAGCTGCCCTGAGAAGGTAACATCTCTGCTCTAAGGCTGAGGAAGGAAACTTATGAGCAATAATGACTCAGATTGTTAACTACATGTATGCAGCCTGGCTCTGTTCTTTAGAGAATCAATTGCCAACACCTCTATTTTACCTCCTCCATCACAATACATTTACACTCACACAATCTGGTTATGTCAAGTCATTCTCAAATCACCAAAGAGCCAGGTAGAAACTGTGTCTGCCAAAATGATGGGTAGAATAGTAGACTTTCATAACAATGTTCCCTGTTCTAAAGCAATTAATTTGAAGTCATCATGAACACTCTTGACAACACATTGTTTTTTTGTTCTTTGTTTATTTGTTCTGTTTTGTGGGGAGTTGTTTGGTTATGTTTTGGTTTTGTTCTGAGGTAAAATCTGACCCAAGATGGCATCAAATTAACAATCCTTCTGTCTCAACCTCCTGGGTACTGGGATTACAGAAAAGCAACACTCCAACAAATATTTAAGAATTCCTATAGTTCTAGCTTTGTGCCAGACACAGGAAGTTAAAATAAGCCTAGGACTCAGTCTCTTTCTTGAGGAAACTCAGTCTTCCTGATAAGATTTAGACATAGAAAATAAACAGAAAGCTAGAAAACAGTACAGTTTCCATTTTTGAGCCTATGAGCTGGACCATTTCTTAAGGTTTACTATATATTATTGTCTCATTTCCCTGTATCAAAACCATTATCAGATCAGTCTCATTACTATCATGTTCCCTGGAGGAAAGCAGGCAGAAAGCAACAGACTCCAGGTTGCACAGTAACGTGGCACCAGCATCCGAGCTTACATTCATGTAGCATTCCACTTTGGTAAGCTTGTCTAGCCACAGCTGAATATTGTTGGGCTGACATAGTAGGGCTGGGGTTCCATGACTGCTTCTCTGGGGTCAGAGGATGGTATGAATCAGGCAAAGAAGAGACAGGAGGATATTCCCAGCAGGGCAATGAGAAGCACAGGAGATGGACTGGCAGTTCTGAATGTGAGGACCAATAGATGGGAAAGTCTAGTAAAAAAGTCAAATTTGAAAGGAAGGTACACTAGAGTAGAATATCCAAGATGGTCCATAATATGGAGAGTCATACACACTGAAATACCTTAATAGTCTCTTTCACCATACTCCTGGAATAGTCAATGAACCAGACTCTATTCTTAGTAATATATCATAAAGGTTGTCACAGTAAGCCTCCTATCCCCTGAAGGGCTTTCTTAGTGAATCATAAGTCTCCTTCATGGATCCAGGTCTCCATAATCCAAAAAGCCCTTGACATTGTTGGAAGGCTTCATTCATTGGCTTGACCCACAGAACTTTACAGTGTGACCTATGTATCCCCCACTTTGGTCTGATCATTATCAGTTTATAAGGCACCTTGAGGCCCATTCAGAGTCATGCCCCTGGTCAGGTTCTACATAAAGCCTACTTTCCACAAGAGTTAACTAATGCTCTACTATATTGTCATCTTTCCCATAAACATCAGGTGAACATCCACTTGGTGCTGAGTTATGTAGACTCTAGAGACATGGCTTTCAGCAAATCTCAGCTATCAGTCATACACTAGAAGCCAGCCATAGCCTTAGATTTAGCAATAGCTTCTTAGCTATGACATCGAAAGCAACAAGGGAAAAAATAAATTGAACTTCATCCTTTTTGGGACCTGAACCGCCCTACAGAAGCAGGTCTCCAGCATCTGGCAGCTGAACAGCAGACCTAAAGAGGTGCTCCCATTTTCGGTATGGCTAGGACTTCACCCTGGGTATTCCAAAGCCCCTTAGCAGAGAAAGGCTAAAAGAGTAAGGTGAAAAGTAAGAACATATACTTGAGAAGTCATGGGTCATAAGGAGTCTAAAGAAAGAAGACTCTTTATTCATACTATGCAGCATTCTCTTAAGAAAAAATGGAGTTAAGGTTTCTTCTCAGCTAAATACCTTCTTATAATTTGTAAAATGTAGTCCTTGGTTACCAGAATAGGGAACCTCAGACTTGGAGAATGGGATAAGATGGGTAGAGGTATTCAACAAAGTACACCTCTAGAGAGTCTGAGAACACACCAGTGGAAACTTTTTTCTCTCTAGAATATGCTATGCCAAGCCCTTGACACTAAATTGGAAATTTCACCTGGCAATCCCCTGCCTTCTGCTCCTCCACCACATAATGGGATACTTTTGTTAAAATATCATGGGCTAAAGGAAAATATCTTTCATATCTCCCAGGATCCTATAGTCTCCATAGTTTAAAGCTTAAGAAAGTGATAAAAAAAAAAGTGATTAAAGGTTGTTTTTTAAAAATTGTAGGTCATTCACTGGGCATGGTTTAAAATCTATATAATTTGTAACAAAATTTGGCTTCAAACATATGACAAAAGGCTTAAAATTAAAATCCTATATGGTTAAAATCTGTAAAATCTATTTTAAAAAAGACTAAAACAATAACATTGAGGGTTGATCTTTACTATGCATAGATAATCTTAAAAGATCCTAAAAGCCATCTTTAGGCTGCCAGTAGCTGCTCACTATATTTGCTATTGTTGGAGAAGACGGATGTTATGTGATTTCACTGCCATCTTAATTAAAAGTGACCATGTGGAGTGGGTCTACCAAGGAGGCAGCAACAGGTCTCCAAGATACTTTCAATTAGGATAGATTTTTTTTAATAATTCCTGTCCTGCAAACAAGGTTTATGAAAGATAGGATTTACAAACAATATTTGCTTAATAAGGTATTAAAACTATACCTCCATGCATTCATATGCAAGAATGTATCTTTCCTTGGCAGTCAAACTTTGTAATATTAAGAGTCATCCAGGTGAAATTGCTTCTAAGATATGAAGGAGTCATAGGAAACACCTGAGGTTTACTAATGTGTGCCAGGGTTAGAGTTCCTAAAGAGAGATGAGTTACAGTGGTGCATCCTAGCAATTTTGAAGATGCTAATGCCATATGATTGTCATTGGAAATCCCAGTCACAATTAAATGGAGCAGGCTGGGACCTAGAAGGCAGCCTGATTAATGCTGCCA